AGATTCCCAGTCTATCGCGAGATGTGTCTAAAAATAGAACAACAATATTCTGTTTTATCGTTAATGTCCTATAACATAATCTTCCTGTGCCAGAATAATGCACTTGAACGCATCAAAGCTTTGTGATTGGCCAGCGTGATGTGTCGGGGCGTGGCTTGTGGGCAGTGGGCACTAGTTCGCTGACGTTGTCCGTGTCAACAGGAGTGACAGTCCGCACACACACAAGACAGCAATGGCAGAAGCAAAAAAGCCCCAAATATACCATTTTCACTCCGAGTGGGAGGATGATTATTTTTGTATCTATTCCAATTCAAAGTCCATCTGTCTCATCTGCAATGCGAGCGTGGCTTTATCGAAGAAGGGTAATTTAGGAGCGGCATTTCAAAACAGTGCACAAATGCTACGAGACGGAATTCCCTCCTAATTCTGCTCTACGCTCCCAAAAGGGTAGGGGCCTGAAAGGACAGCTAAATGCACAGCAGTCCATTTTCACCAGGCCCAACAACAAGAGCAAGGCTGCTACCATAACATCTTAACGTGTCAGTCACGTTCTTGCGAAACACATGAAGTCTTTCAAAGACGGCGAAGTTGTGTAAGAAGCATTCCTGGAGGCTGCCGACGCGCTTTTTGGGGACAGTAAACATAACAGTAGCATTTCAACAGGTTTTTGATTCAAGTTAGTTATCGTTATTAATCAGCTATAAGTTTTAGTTTGTTCGAACTTATTCATTATAATTATTGTACAAAATGGTATAAGAATGCAAACATTAAGATCTGTTCTGTTTAAATTGATTATAGTCTTATCAATTCAGGTTAAGAAACTAGTGTTGCTTGCATCCTATTTTAAAGGCATTTCTTTTTATAATCTACTAAAATGCAACAAAAAAAGGGTTTGATTCTATTAATTGTGTCTTTTTTATTGCACTTTGGCAGCAGATTCCTGTGTAGCTTCAGATCTGAGTTGTTTTATTAGTAAGCCTAATTTATACTTTTGTAGCAACACTATTTTTATATAATGGCAAAGAAAGGGGTCAGAGTCTTTTCTTTTTTTCCTGTGTCATATGTGGCAGCACTGTTCAATGTTTCTTGAAAACATTACCCACTGTAGTATGTGACGTGTGAATAAACTCCAACTCTGTATCAACAACACTGTTGTGTAACTTCAGTTAAATACTTGTATGTGTGTAGATTAGAAAGAGGTAAGAAGGATCTGCAGTATTTTATGAAGTATTAATCGTACAAAGGTCCGTTTTATACAAGTAGAAGTGTGTATTTACCTGGTAGTAGGCTGTCAGTAATGGCTACGCCTCTCTATTTGGACTGGTAGATCTCGGCAGACTGGCAACTTTAAAAGTAGCTCTCGGTTCAAAAAAGGTTGGGCACCCCTGCCTTAGAGGGATTCGCCAATACTCATAGAAACTGGAGTTACAGTAGGTAACCTCAGATACATTTCCCGCTCTTATGTGCCCATCCCCCCACATGGATCACACATGGCACACGCAATACATGTTCAGTGTCTATTCTTTGTATATTTACTGCAGTTGTTCATACCAGTAGTCTGATACAATATTTACAGTTTGAAAGGTTGTTATATGAAATGTGTTGATGATTTAAAAAAATTGGGGGGGGGGGGGACGAACACAACAGGAGGGTTAACAAAGTACTGTAGCTGTGGTTTGTATGTAATGCTTAAATGTGGTGCATTACGGACAAATGACCACCAGATGGCGTCATTGAAACACTTTAAAGATGGCTGCTGCAGGTCTGGAGGAAAAACACTGGGGAAATAATCTGAATTGGAAATAGCTCATGAAACTCTGATCACACATTAGTTGAGTCAAGCTCTCCTCTTTTACACTGATGCAGGCCAGCGTACACACACTCCTGTGTGTGTGTGTGTGTGTGTGTGTGTGTGTGTGTGTGTGTGTGTGTGTGTGTGTGTGTGTGTGTGTGTGTGTGTGTGTGTGTGTGTGTGTGTGTGTGTGTGTGTGTGTGTGTGTGTGTGTGTGTGTGTGTGTGTGTGTGTGTGTGTGTGTGTGTGTGTGTGTGTGTGTGTGTGTGTGTGTGAGCAGAGATAATTTTGGCCTCTTACTACTAGCACATTCCTGTCATGTATTTGACGGCCCTCTGTCACCAGAGAGGACTTGCAGGCTTTCCAGGTCCTTCCAGGAACTGTTGTTCCCACAGGGCAGCTGCTGCAAAGGATTCATCCAATCCAATCCAATCCATTTTATTTATATAGCACATTTAAAAACAACAGAGTTGAACAAAGTGCTGTACATCAACAACTGTATAAAAACATAGCATAAAAACAGACAGGACATGAAACAAATGTAATATGACTGATTCATTCATGAATCAGTCAAATTAGTATTAACAGGAAACGCAAGATGTGGCATGTTTATGTGTGATTTATGCCTTTTATTTCTTTTATAGGCTGTTATTATTATTATGCTGTTGTTGAATAGCTGTTCCATTTGTCGTACAAGAATAACAAGACCAAACATGACATTAAGTAACAAACGTGTACACTTCCAAAGAACACAATTAAGTAACTGTGATTTAAAACATACAAATTGCTATGGTTACCAAAATAATAATTAATTTCTTTATTTTATTTTAAGCTATGTATTTAAAACAAATGTTTGTTAGATGTAGTTCATGCACAGACATCATTTAATAATCCTACAAAGATTGTACATTTTTATATATTTTTGTATTTAAATTAGAAATGCATGCAGTGAAAATGAAGCCTTGTAATAAAATAATAATATTATTAATATTGTTACTGGACAATTCAGCTGCTGTTTTTTTATAGTTTAGAATTTTAAACATGCAACACAAAAACATACAATATAAAACATAAAACACTAAGAGTATTTCCAATAATATTAGTTATATATTTGTATTTGATTTTTAGCACCCCAGCTCTACTAAAGTACATTTTCCTTAGATATTTTTGAATACTTAATTTTTTTTATATTCTTACCTTTTTATTCTTATATTTTTCATTTTGTGTTGTTGAATGAAATATAAAGAAATAAATGTGATTTTCTTTCAGCTCTAATCCACACAGTCAGCCTCCTCCTCCCCCCTCCAGACGGCCTGTCACGCGGCAGTAGCATGGGGAAACCTGTAGGCGGAGACTGTGACCTAATTCTGACCAATAGGAGCGAGGCAGAGGCCGCGAGTGACCTACATTCAGCCAATAGCGCGCGGCAGGGTCGCCGGTACTGGTAGGCAACAGTGGGCGCGTGCCGAGGCCATGTGCTTCTTTGAGCGCGAGAGGCCGATAGGGACATTTAACAGGGAGAAAAACAGACGAACCGTGTGGCTCTGCCGACCATTTGTGCGGGATTAAATACACTTTAACCTCTCATACATGTGACTATTTCAATACTCCATAGTATATAGTTGTTTTATGAGTAAAACCATTCCCAATATATATGAATTAACATTTATAAATACAATGTTCAGTTTATATTCCTGACAAATTACGCCATTAGTGTTATCTCTACCTGTAAATGTAGCAGAGAAGTGTTTGTTATATATTGTGTGAGACTCTTTCCGCCCACATCTGGACACCTGGTGTGCGTGATTGCTTTGTTTGAGCTGCTTATTCTGACCCTGCAAATCCTGTCACGTTGTGGATAAAAATAATCAGATTTTCCAACATTTCTAAGATAACACAGAGGGTGAAGGTACAAAGAGCAAACAACACCCTGAAGTCTCAGCCCTGTGCTGTGCGGCTCTTCAGTGTTACTCTCAGCCAGTGGTCATCTTGTTTTTTGGCCTCCCTGTTTAAATGACAGCGTGAGAGAAGAAGAGAGGGGCGGGTGCGTTCATGGTCCATCCACAGAGGAGCTCAGCTCAGGTGGGCGTGTCTTACTGTGCAACAGTCCCAGCTGCTGTCAGCCATTGGCTGAATTGGCGGGGAGGTGTGCTTTCTTTATGCATATATAGGTTGCGTTCATGTACACCTGTAGGAAAACTAGAACGCGTTGATTACCACTATTAAAGGAAATTCCCAAACATCCAAAGTGAAAGATAATTAGGTAAACAAAAAATTATCATTTGTTGAACTGAACTATTCTCTTTAGTCTTAGCACACTCTAATACTGTTAAAGCCTGCATAGCAGTGCTTGATGTGTGATGTATGCCTTTTATTTAGTTTATAGGCTGTCATTATTATTTTGGTGTTGTTCAATAGCTTTTCCATTTGTCGTACAAATGAAAAAGCTATTTGAATTGGACATGCATGCAGTGTAAAGGAGGCCTTATAATAAAATAACATAATTATTAATATTGTTACTGGTCAATTCAGCTGCTGTTTTATATAGGCTAGTTAGAAGTTTAAACATGCAACACAAAAACAATAATGAAACAGAACTAGCCTAATAGTTTTCATGACGTCTCTTTGATCTTTATGATATTTGGTTTAAAGGTAATATTAAATGTCGTCATTTTTTAATAAAGCAAACTGATCATTTTGTGTATAAAATGTCAGAAGCCAGTACAAACTGGCTTCACTTTTTTTTAAACTATTTTTCTTTTTGTATTTACTTTTTAATATTTACTCCACTATATTTTTCAGTTTTTCTGTATTATTGTGTTGCACTGTTGGAGAAGCCTGTGACCCAAGATTTTCATCGACATAACTACTCTGTAGCTATGTTCGTATGACAAATAAAGAAGCTTGAACCTTGAAACAAATTGCTGTTATATATTCCTACAATCCAATAGGACATTTTCAGTTTTCAATTTTAATTTTTTAGTTTGACCAACTGCTCTATTATTAAAAACTGTTGGAGGATAATTCAACAAAGTTGAATATAATTTGAAGTTATACAACAGTTAGATTTAAATTTGCCATCAAGTAAAATTACAGTTGGAACCGTATAGTTTACATGTAAAACAACTCAAATTTACCAGCTTTCCCATGCATCCTGAACGCAGAATGCTTTACTGACAGGGGAGGCGTGGCTTATTTATGCAAATGATCCACGCCCCCAATCGCTTTTCCCCCGTGAGCGGTGACATCACACGAGCGGCCCGTGTTGGTTCCAGCTGACTGAGAGAGGGAGTCAGAAAGAAGGACGAAAATAGAGAGAGGTGTGTGTGTGTTCGTGTGTGTATGTGTGTGTGAGAAAGAGAGAGAGAGAGCGAGAGAAAGGGAGGGAGAGAGGGAGAGAGGGAGGAAAATAAGAGCCATCAGTCTCATCTATCTGACTCTCATACTACTGGATATTATTTTATTTTTTTCGGGGGGGGGTCTCTTTATTTCCTTCATCTTATATTTTGTCGCTCATATTTAATCACAAGTTTTTTTTTTCTATTTTGGAGACTCTTCGCCTCGACTGTTTCTAATCCTCTCTCACTACATGGAACTGTATGGCCATCCGCGTTTGAATCTGCTTTTATTTTAATTTGGCTTTCCCCCCTCCGGATTAAAAATCAAGCGACCGACCAACGGACCGGACCCGAGCGAGAGTTTCCTTTAACACTAACTCAAAGAGGACTTTACTCGCCGCGAGCTCCAGGATCCAATCTGTCTTCCTGTGTGCGCGTTCATTATTGCAGAGTTGTTTCAAAGAGGTGAAGGCTCAGCCAGAACCGAGAGGATGAATTAGACTCGGCGAACATGGTGCCATTTTGGAGATAAGTCCCCCCTCTTTTAATTTTGTACACCTTTTTTCTTCATGGGACGGGCGGATAATCGGGATTCCAGGTGGAGATCTTAAACGCGTTACCTGCCCGCGCACCTTTGTGACGACGCGCCTGTCAATTAGCGTCACTAATTGGATTATTTTGATCTTGAACTTAGAGTCTGCAGGTTGCTCTTCTCTACCTCCTCCCCTCCCTCACCTCCCACCTCCTCCTCCTCCCCCCTTGAAGTTATGTCAAGGCCTCTCACTCAGCTCTTACCGCCGGATCTCCCTGCCGGGGCCACCAGCCCCCAGCTTGGGGCCAGCAACTCGGCCGGAAGTGGCACCCAGGGAGGACACCTGACCTCCATGACCAACCTGAAGACCCTGCTCCAGCTGCCAATCAAGGCCGACCAGATGGCCAAGGACTGCTGCGAGATGAAAGGTGAGTGTGTGCACGTGTTCATGTTCGTGTGTGTGTGTGTGTGTGTGTGTGTGTGTGTGTACTGTGAGAAAGAGAGAGGCATCCTATAGGGGAGACACTTCTTAAAGGGACAGTAAGGAAATATATACCTCAGCCAATAAGCAACTGCATAGCAATCATAGATTAATGCATGTTTAATGTACATTAGGTGCATTAAAATGGACTAAAATTAATATGCATGCACCATAAGTACAATGCATGTTTGTCTGATACATGTTGTAATATATTATTGTTAAATAATCCATATTATGTGCAGTAAGGATACCATGAACCTTAAATGCAGAACATATCATGCTAAGGAGGTATTGAGCTAACACTTGATTCATCAATGAGTCGACAACAAGCCAGAAAGTATTTGGTACAAGCTTCTCAAGGGATGAGAGGCTTTCATTAGTCCAACCTAATATACATATGAAGGGATGTGGGTGCTGACTGTTTGGTAAAGACAAGCAATGGGAATATGTCAGGTATACTCCTATGGGAAGTTATAATCAGCATTTCTTACATTTCTTACATTTTAATCAAGAAAATAATAATCAAAATGATCATTTGTTTGCTGTTCTAATTATGAAAAAACTTGAATAAATACTCATTAGAGAGCCTTTACTCAATATAATCTTTGCAGGAACACACAAGAATATTAGACTGATTTATTTTTCATTGCTGTGTGTGTGTGTGTGCATGTGATTGAGTGGTAGGTGTGTTTGTAAAAGACAGAGCTCCTGCTTATCCAACACACACGTGCACACACACACACACACACACACACACACACACACACACACACACACACACACACACACACACACACACACACACACACACACACACACACACACACACACACACACACACACACACACACACACACACACAGTTTCCATATCCTTCCTCCTTCTGGCCTGCTAGATTCTGATATTAAACGCGTCCCTTTTGCATTTTGGTGCTGGAATGAAAAGCCCATGTGGAGGAGGATGAGGAGGGTTCAAAAAAAGAAACACAATCTGGATTTAATGCCATCAAAAAAAAAATCAGCCAAAGCAGCAGCAGCAGCGGCGTTCTGGTTCTCCACTCTGTTTAAATAAAGGTTAGTGAGCGGGATTGAATTGTTTCCCATGCACCAGCTGCCATGACAAATATTAACCAGACTGCCTCTCCTTCCTCTCTCTTAGTGTGGGGATGTCATAACTCCCAGTCACCTGCTGTCACACACACGCACGCTCAGATACTGGTTTTGCTGTGCTTGTGCATGAGGACACTTAAAATCACTCCCTTGAGAATTGTTCTTCTTCTAAGTCCAAACTTTATTATTAAGCCACTGTGATGATGTGTTAAAATGTCCTCACAAGCACAATGGACTGTCACAGAGTCCACAAGTATGTATAAAACTTAACACACCGAATAAAGAAAGGGAGAAAAACAAAGACTCCTGCTTATTGGCGGCCCCTGGTGGCATCTGGGTGTAACTGCAGCTGCTTTCTGTTCCTTTGCATGAGGAGGAGGAGGAGATGATGGTGAGTGCGGCTGACAGGCTCTCCATGGAGTCAGAAAGCAGCTCAGAGGCCCCCATTTCAGCGTCATTGTCAGCTCTCATATAATGCATACTGTCCTAATGTTAGGTGATGCATTCAGGGATGTGTTCAAAAAAGAAAAGACGATGCCGCTGTGTGGGTTTTGGTTTCCTCGATGCAGAGTGATTTTCACCCTCCTGGCTAGCTTTGTGTGACACCTTCACAAACTCCCACTCCTGCTCCTCTTCCTCTTCATCCTCAGTCCCTCTGCTGATTTATATTTTTTCTCAGGCTTCTCCTTTGCATCTTTTACAGCACACTCATCTCTGTCTGTTTTCAGTCTCTCCTTGTGCTCCTCTTGGAGGGGTTTCCTCTTGCTTTTATATTGTTATATGTGCTTTCTTCTCCTGTCCTTTCTACGGAGCCTGCAAGTGGGCTTTTAATTTGTAAGCAGCATTAAGTCATTTGTGCTTTTGATGCACATACATTAGTTATTTCTTGTATCTTTAAATCTTTGTACCTATGACTGTCTCTTAGTCAGCACAGTAGGAGCATCTCCATGTTGTTGTGGCTACACAGTCAGGCAATCAGCTGTGTTTTGGTATTGAGGTACCATACAATGTGGGTATTTATACAGTTGTGATTTCACATAGTTTGGCTGACATATTCCACTCTGTAGCCTCAGTCATGAAGTGCACACTCAGCCCTGAAAATTCAAAATGAGCATCCTATATGATGAGATACATGGATTTGCTTTGGATTGTTGGTGCTAATTTACCTAGTGGTGGCTAAAGGTGTCTTTAGTAGGAATTGTCAACAAAATAACGTTTTGTAAATATTACTTTCATTATTTGGTATATTACCTCATTTTCACTGCAAGGTAGGGGCAAAATCTTGCGGCTTTGTTTCTATGTTTACCTTCTCTGCTTGCTTTTATTCTGACCTTGTCCCACAGCTGCTATTTCATTGGTTAAGCTTTTTCAAAAGCCACTAGCAATCAAGGTTAAAGTAAAAATAATTTACACTTTTAGCAGAGCAATGGTTGGCAATTTCTGGCATACTTTATGGCAAATAATACGTGTTATTTATTTAGCCATCTTTTCACCCACCTGCCTGTCCTCATCATCTTCTCTTTTCATGTCTTATTTATGTTTTCGGGCCGTCCATCCGATGTCTCTGTGTTGCCCCAAAAAGATGCAAAGGGAACAGCGTACCTCTTCAGTGTTCGCATATTCTTTCCTGTATAAACGGGAGACTGGCTGAATCCTCTTATCAGCAACCAAACAGAGGAACATCTGCCCTTACTCAATTGTAATGTGTAATGTTAGCGTAGTTCATCCATTAGTTTTAAAACTGGGTTGACTGAAAACAAATTGGATTGCTATTAGCAATATTTTGTTATTTAAAAACCCTAGGTTTGTGTTCCTACACAAACCTAGGCCCATGACCCGCTAGTGACGAATCTCTTTGACAAATGAGTGGTCTGCTATGTTATGGAGGTGTTGCTGAAAAACGTACAAGCTGCCAGTTACATTACATTACATTACATTACATTACATTACATTACATTACATTGCATTTAGCTGACGCTTTTATCCAAAGCGACTTACAATAAGTGCGTTACAAGTAGAACACCTAGCATGCTGCCCAGTTGAAAACCAAACGAGCTAGAGTCGAGTCCAGACATAGCATGCCAAGGAAACTTGACATTTGACGTCAATTGATGCTTAAAAAAAACCCAAAACATCAGATCTGTGCAGAACCATAAAATATCTGTAATGTTTCTGGGATTATTGCACAAATGTAACCATGTTTATATTGTTCTGAACTATGAGATTTGACTTCCTCTTCTGACTTAATTTTGTTGCATTTCTCCAATGGTTTACCGGATGGAAGAACCAGCTGTTGATCTTGATGAACCATCTCCTAACATTTGCTTAACAGAAGTGGGCACAGACGGGCATACATTTTTTATTTTGGCGTTTTTTTTTCTCCTGAAATAATTTACATTGAAATCTGGCCTGTTTAAGGTGCCCAAACCAACCGGTAGTGACTGACACATCCAAACTGTTATTGTTAGTAAATAAAGCTGCTAAATCTAGCTCATTAAAGAAATGTATTTAAGAGTTGTTAGCTTTGTAGGTTGTCTTAAAACAACTACTTCAACTTGTACATCTTTAAATAAATCACATATTTCCTCAATTTCATATTATTACCTTATGGCGCTTTTCCACTGCAGGACCTAGCATGGCTTAGTACGGTATGGTTAGGCCTTGGTAGGCCAGGCTCACTTTATGCTGCGTTTCCATTACAGTTTACCAACTGGGGTAGTAACTATAGTAACGCAGTGTAGGCGGGGCGACATCAGCTGTTAGCTGTTAGCACTCAGAGCTCACAGCTCCTCATATCTGTTCAGAAACTAGACAAAAGTTAAACAAGTAGAAAATACAGACTGTCTGTGTCATGGCGAGTACAGTCGCTGGTTTATTTATGTCTGTAGGCCATTGTTGTGAGTGTGGACGGAGCCTATACAACGTTAGTTTAGCCTGATCGATCCGGTCTTCATTCAGAAAACACGGATTTTAAAAGGTTTTTCGCCTGCTGGTATCAGTATGTTGTTACTTCGGCATCATTTTGAAAAGTGTATTACAATTAAATCACGGTCAAATATGTTCATTTTGTTGTAGTTGTAGCCCCCTTGCCAGCGATTCTCTCTGACCATTCAGCAGTCGAGAGTGTTTACATCACTAGTTTAGCATATTCAGCCCGGTTGTTGGCCCGGTAAGAACCTCGATTTTGGAGGGCCAGAAAAAAGATGAAAAAGTAGCCCTGAGCCGGAACTACCCCTAGTGGAAAAGCAAAAAAAGCGGGCCTGGTTTGGCCCGGCCCGCTTAAACCATGCTACGTGCTGCAGTGAAAAAGCGCCATTAGAGTCCTTTGAGTTTTGTATTAAACAGACAGTAATTGAAAAGAAAGTGGCAGGCAGATGATGATGATGATAGCAGAGAGATTATAGGGGACATGCATTTAATGGCCTCAACTCTTTTCCTCCGTCCCTCCATCTTTCCGCTGTAATCTCCCCTGACTTTATGTTCTTTAATCCCTTTTAAATGAACATTTCCGGCCGTCCCGATGTTCTCCCGATGTTCTCCCGATGTCTCCTTCTCTCGCTTGTTCATTATTCCCCTTTTCCCTTTCGCCGCAGCCCAGTTAAATATGCTCTTTTATTACTATTTTATTGGGTTGTATTATTCATTGTTCCATTTATTCAATATGCACTTTGGGAGGCTTGATTCTGTAGAATAATATTATCAAAGGATCAGGGTACAAAACAATCACTCCAGTTCTCTCCTTGTGATGAAGTTTGGTTCTTTTTTAGTTTACTTGCAGGAGTTTTTTGTTTATTTTCTGTGCTGATGCTTTATTGATGGCCTTATCTATCTTTCCATCAGACCCTACCGCTTAGATAGAGGTCATAGTGCAGGGTCAGTTTAGTCAACTTTATTTATAGATGCCTTTTAATGATCGCAACTAAGTGCTTCCCAGAGAGCAAAGGACACAAACATCAGCCGGTGTTCATCAAAGGACAGAATCAGCCTCGGGAGCTGTTTGTTTGTCGGAAAGATGAGTTTCACAGGATTGTAACGCAGCTTCTTGTAGATAAATGCAAGATCTGGTTCACCTCAGGAACAAAGGGATGCAATCACAAGCGGTTAAAAAAACAAAAAAAGGGAACCAAATGTCAATTTTCGGAATATTTCAGAGGCTTTCTGAGGACAATGAGGCATTCAAGGTAAACCATATAACGTTTGCTGAACTGAGGTTAACTTTCCCATTTTGGAGCGTTACATAGAAAACAAAAGGCATGTGTGTTTGGATGTTCAAGTGTGTTACCCTTAGGGGATAAAACCTGTGACCATCTGGCGTCCACTCTGTCTTTGAGCACTTGTAAAGAGTGTGTGAAAGGATGTTTTAAATTAATCATTTTTGGGCCACAATTGCATCAGATTTTAGATATTTGTTTTATAGTTATGGATTGACGGCGGAAGTCATTTGGGGACACATGGATTTGCTTTTGGTCACCATACAGTATGTAAGGATAAAATGCCTTGAAATGCTATGACGCTATTTCCATACACATGGAATGGAGGACTGCATTTGTTTAAGTGCTTTTTTTTAGGCAATAAATCCCTGTCACATTAAGCTGAAGACAGATTGATTACAGAAAACAAATTAGAGTCTCTGCTCTACAGCACAACATACTAAACATTTTCACACCCTGAAACACATATTTTCTCGCTGCATATTTTCAGTTCTTATCATTTCTTATTATTTCACCTTTCATAACAAGCACAGAAAAGTGGACTGAGATACATGACCATTTTAGGGTGGTTCTTCTTTTATTACACAGATACAAATAATCTAACATACTTCTCCTTCTCTCCAGATAAAGATAAGCCTGCGGAATCTGATGAGGAATCAAATCCGGGTGTCATCACCGGAGGGCCAGGTGCTCCCAGTGCGGCCCCAGGGGCCCCTGGAGCCCCTGGGTCTGGCCCACTGCGTCCCAACTCCCAGTCAGCGTTCCTGGGCCCGCTGCTGTGGGAGAGGACTCTGCCCTGTGATGGAGGCTTGTTCCAGCTGCAGTACATGGACCTGGAGGAGTTCCTCACTGAGAACGGGATGGGCATGCACAACAACGGGCCCAGCTCCACCCGGGCCCAGATCCCCTCCCAGGTAGGGCTGATGGAGAAACTGAAGCTTTAAAAACTTGGCCTCAACCTCACCAAGCTGCAAGAAGATTTATTTTTCATTTGACAAGGTGTAGCTGTTAGTTATAGTAGGCTACTTACCACGCCAAACATATTGACCTGACTTTATTTATTTCTATTAACAACGTTGTGGTTTTAGCTAGCCACCGTAAAGTGACCGAAGCAGAAAACCACTTGTAAAATGTGCAACAAGTCTTCATAAAACAGTAAAGCTAGTTTTCAAATTAAATATTTTATTATATTACCATTTTTGTTAATGTCGCAAACAGGTTTTGAACCAGAACCACTTGATTAGCTTTAGCTATCAAAACTCTTTTGGAAGGTTCAGGAAAATATCATGGTTTAGGTGATACAAGTTTGTTTGTTATATATTTACTAGCTTACATACGTATGATAATGTTTTATTTTTAGGTTTCAAACAAAACATTTTTTTTCAGTAAGCACGCCATTTTGTCACGCTAGCTAGCAAGCGTGTGTGCTAGGAGGTTAGCCTGCTAATGTGTAATGTCGTGTTTACATGGTTACACTGGGCTGCCAACACTCACGCATTGAGCGTGAGAGTCACGCAATTAACCCATATCTCACGCACTCACGCCACACTCAGGGCTGCCAACATTTGAGTTCAGCTTGGAGTGAGATTTTTTTTTGGTGAACCGAAAAAAGAAACGTTCATGTGTACAGTGTTACAAATGTATTGAACATGTACAAACTAGGGTTTCCCATTAATGTACCGGGCGCTACAGAGGAATACGCACATACACAGTGTACCCGCAACTCTTACAATGAAGGCTCGATAATCAGCTCACAGCATATAAAATGGCATATAAGCAGAGGTAAAGTGCTATTTTATAAGTGGTGGGGGGTTGGATTTTGGATTTTGGATTTTTTTTTAAATATTGAAGTTAAATGTATCAACCTGGTGCATTTTGAGAGCAAAATGAATGTATGGATACATCTCTCAACACCCATATGAAACAGAACTGTAAACAGATTTTCTTTTTCTTTATGAATATTTTACAAATCACTCCCCTTTTAAACTGTATTCTTGTTTTACTGTCATATAGTATTTCATAACTGTTTTTCATTTATTCTCATAAATGGTGACCAAACCGTTTGAGACCCACTGAGATAACTATACTAAAGTTAACTATCTAAACAGAGTCCCTTACCTCAATGAGCTGTAGTTATCTCTCAGTCTGACAGGACAGAGCTCTCCATTTCCTTGTTTTAGAAACAACTTTTAATATCCGTTAAGCTAACCAGATGCTAACAACAACAATGCAAATAGTGAGTTTGGTAGAAATATACTGTATAATAGTAAAGTTATTGAAGATGCCATATTTATTGAAGATTTTACATTTTAAATATTCCCCAAAATTATTCAAAAGCATATTCTTCCAAACTCTCTGCTGTAGTATGACACACAGGAGACTAATGTGTGTAGTGAGTTTGGTAGTAATAAGCTGTATACTAGTGATTGAATATTATTGTAGGCAAGGCAAGGCAAGGCAAGTTTATTTATATAGCACTTTTCAACACAAGGCAATTCAAAGTGCTTTACAAAAAATGAAAGAGATTAAGAAAATGGCATTTAAAATCAGTCATTAAAAAGAAAAGCTAATAAAATAAACATTAAAAGAAAAAATACATGGATAAAAGTTACAGTGCAATTAAACATTAAAAGAAAAAAAGTACATGGATAAAAGTTACAGTGCAGTCTAAGATATGAATAGTTCAATTAAAATCAGCGACAAAAAGAAAAGTCTTCAGCCTGGATTTAAAAGTAGTCAGAGTTGCAGCGGACCTGCAGGTTTCTGGGAGTTTGTTCCAGATATTTGGAGCATAATAACTGAACGCTGCTTTACCATGTTTAGTTCTGACTCTGGGGACAGAAAGCTGACCAGTCCCTGAAGACCTGAGAGATCTGGATGGTTCATAATTTAGCAGGAGGTCAGAAATGTATTTTGGGCCTAAACCATTCAGTGCTTTATAAACCAGCAGCAGTATTTTTGAAATCTATTTTTTGACACACAGGAAGCCAGTGTAAAGACTTCAGAACTGGAGTGATGTTTGGAGTGATTCTCTTTTTTCGGAGTTGCACTTTGCAGACGGTCCCTGAGCACTCGTTTCTTCTCCGGCTGCAGATAGAGACCAATGTAATGTGTCCAGCTCGGAGGACGGCGCGTATTGGCTTTTTAAAAAAAATCAAAATCTGATTGTAGTTTGTTGTCAACCTTACCACGGTACTTAGGAGACATCATTTGTGTCTGAATAACGTTTTGTTCATGAGTTATTGATCCGTGAAATCAGAATCTCCCAATATCGTTCCAACTTTACTGAACTAAGCCAGAAGACCGTCTCGTTTCGTAGACCGCTCGGTTTGCTGTTCCTTCACTTTATTTTTATATACATTTATTTTGGACGAAAACTTAGCGTGAGGAAAGGCAAGTGTGGCGTGAGTGCGTGAAATATGGGTTAATTGGGTGACTCTCACGCTCAATGCGTGAGTGTTGGCAGCCCTGTTAAATTACATTTGTTGTGAATATTCTGTTTTATTTGGATGTAACCGTTACATCCAAATAAAACAGAATATTCACAACAAATGTAATTAGCTAACAGCTTAAAAGCCCTTAGGACCCATAACAACTTGCCCATCATTTTAAAATAAAGTGCAATTTTCTACATTTGGTATGAGGTCCCTAAAAAAATGTCCGCCATAGGCACTGCTGTTTAAAGAAAAGTTTAAATATGAAATACTCAAATTATATTTTGTGAATTGGAAACATTTTAAGGAACCTAATGAGAGAGAATTTGATCAATCAGTCTGTGTTTACATCTCAAAATCCTGGACAAAAGTAACGTTTATTTAAATGTTCTCTCCTTCCAGAGCTCCCAGTCAGCGGTGCCCAACCAGAGCTCCCAGTGCCCTCGCAGCTCTCCCCCGCCCTGCTCCTCCTCTTCTTCCTCAATGTCCTCTTCATCCTCCTCTTCCTCATTGCTGGGACTGGAGAACGTCCAGCCTCAACCGCCACCACCACCACCCCTGCCACCTCAGCAGGAACAAGGCATGTTGGGAGGACCTGAGTGTCCAGATGGTGAGTGAACGAGTGAATTTAAGGGTTGCTATCCGGCAGTTTCATTCAATTTTGGCCCTTGAAGATATGAATTTGAACACATTTTGAACAATAATACCTTAGAAAGATATGATATGAGGACCTTTTTTATATATTTTATATCTTTAAATTTAAAAATACTTTCCCGTCAGAAATGAGAATGCTTTTATTATCTTCTTTTCCTCCTGAGAAGTCCACACAGAGATTAAAATTGAAGTCCTCACGTGAGAAGGCAACATTTGTGCACCAGCTAATGCAGTCAGACATTTTCCGAAGCCGCACATGCAAAGGCTTTGATGTGATCTGGCACTAATGAGAACACAGATGATACATTAACTAACCCACTCCTTCAACAATAACCAGAGTAGAATTTTGTCTAATTATATCTCCGTGTGAGACATTGTTCTGCAGCTCTCCTCGGCTCCCTGCGACAGCCTCTTTTCAACCATTATATATTCATAATTTATTGTTTCCTCTCTCTGCTGGTTTTAATGTGAACTAGAACTGCATGATCATCAGAAGAGCTATTTTCTCTGTCTGTCTTTTCATTTTTTATTTCTCAACTCTGACAACTTTCAATTCTGGCTAATTGAAACCACAAAGACATTCTTCATAATGCTGACGGCAGTGTTGTGAAATCCTGCGAGCCATAGAAGGAATCATCGCAGCTAGTTTTATGATGATTTATCAATGGCAGATCAACCGCATGTCTTTGTGTTCAGCGATTGTTTCGACATTTATTGGAAGGATGAGAAGATTAGCGAGGGAATGTAAGGACTGGCTTCAGATCGTTTGATCGGATTTTAGAGAAGCAGAGCAGTGAGGATGCTTTAATGCATATGAGGCAGGTGAATTAAATGCATACATACAAAAAAAAAGCAAGAATCACTATCCATCTTGCGTATAATAGATCATGTTTACATGATGTATTATTTTATTATTTGATATGACTTTTTCAAGTTTTCAAGGCAGTGTGTCCTTTATAGTAAGCATTACAGAACACAACTCCTTTCCTTTGCTGTTGCTTTGTAACCAGGGAATAAGGATATCATTCTGCACTCTGTTTTTTAGCCATTTGTGGGCAGCACAACAAGCCACAAACACCACATTGACATATTATTACCTTATAAAGTAGTGAATATGTAAGCAAACTGTTTATGCATCATTAGTATTGGATTTTGGAAATACATTTTTTTACATACTAGTCTGGCAAGGCTCTATTCAACTAGTGTCGCTCTTTTAGCAAAGATTGTGGCGTATACTACCTGGCCCTTTTTTTGTGTTTCCCCCTCGATACATTTTTCCAAGGGAGCTGAGCTGATACCAAAAATGTTTTAATTACCAAGCTCCTGTCATTTAGATAGAACGGCAGCCAAGGACACCCTAGTAGCTCATATGGCATAGTGTACCATGTACAGTGCTTGGGAACATCCAAGATTTTATCCAATGAAGAAATCTATGTATTAAAAAAACGTTGGTCTGCAAAACTATGTTGCACTATTGACAAAGTGAAGACGTTATTCTGTGTTGTTGCTGCTAAAGGTAGCACACAGTGGGTTTCTAGAGCTAAACATCATGGATGTATAAAGGGAACTGGATACAGTTGGAGGCAGGACCCCCCCCTCATTCCTATGAAAGTTGCTAAGTGGCGCATTATGCCAAAATGGCCTGAGTCTTGAGAGCAAAAGTGCCCGTATCTGGGTCCAAAGAGTATGCACACTTGTTTTTTGCTTAATCTAATTGGTAACAACACGGCCAATCTTCGCTCATCCAAAAACAATTAGAGATCTAAAATAACTGGATTAATTTATAAACCATTTTACACCTTTTAGACCCAAATGATTAATATATGGGCAGTGGTTGGTGGTCGATTTCCTAAAATAAGTCAATGGGGGGAAAAAGGTTTCTGCCCGCTGACGTCACGGACGAACACGGACGAACACGGAGGTTGTACTACCATCATTTGGCCATTACAAAAATGTGCTTGCCGGAGAGGAAACCAAAACAGATAGAAGGCAGATGCTAAACACAGCTGCAAATTTGGGTTTTCTTATTATCTCTGCGTGTTTATCACGACCAACAACAAATGTTTCTATTGTCCATCTAATGGAAAACAAAAATAGTACTGATTACATCATAACCAGCTATCTTTATGTGCACATGCGCAACTACAAATATGAAATGTAAGGTAAATTAAAGACAACATTGAAGTAGACGATGCAGAGGTCAGTTGTGTGTGTCTGCTCAAGCGTTTCTTTTTGCCATTTATACGAAGGCTGAATTTATGAAGGTATATCTACATGTAGGAACATCAGGGACTGCCCTCCTGCTTTGTTGTGTAGAAAATGTTGCCAGCCCCGGTCACAGCTGTGAAATAATCTTTTGATAATCGGCTCTTTACTTCATATTTCTGTGTGTGTGTGTGGTACTTAATGCTAAAACGGTATGTTGTACAAAGAGTTTGTAAACGTCAGAGAGGAAGACTCTGGGAGAGATAAACTGCGAGATACGATTCGGAGAAATCTGACTGCATCATTGTCTTTTCATTGTGAGTCATAAACAACAAGATTTGTTTCACTATGAGAGCAAGCTGCAGTGTTTCTTAAGAATAATTTAACTAGCAAAAAAACTATGGCAGAAAAATGAAAATGAGACACAGACAGAAAGCAGCAGAGCCTCAGCAGAGCTGATACAGAGGAGCGAATACCACTGGATACTGCTGCAAGGCTCTAACTGTGCGTGTGTGCGCTCGTGTGTGAGAGAAAGAGAGAGAGAGAGAGAGAGAGAGAGAGAGAGTGTGTGTCTGGGTGTGCAGTACGCTGAACTTCAGATGCACATATGAATATGAAAGTGTCCTCTTTGTTTCCGCATTTGCATGCAACTGTTTAGGCTTTAATGTGACATGCTCTTGTGTGTGTGGGTGTGTGTGTGTTTTTTGTGTGTGCCTAGTGTGTGTGTGTGTGTGTGTGTGTGTGTGTTTGCAAGTGTGTGCTCTTGATTCTGAATTATAAACACATGACTGAGCTGAGCATGATGCATCCAGCCAGAAAATCCTCAGGTCGCTGTGGAGCTGCAGTGTTACTACTGAGCTGCAGAGAAGTAGATGGAAAATAAACTAGTAATAATAATCTGATCCACATGCCCGTTTGGTTTTATTTAAAATCATTATGCGTCAAAGAGAGACAGCTCAGAGGGATGGGGGGGGGGGGGACACAAATGTGGATACAGCTGTGGATTTATAAGGTTTATTGTCACCTGTTTGTTGCTTAAAAGGCAATAAATGCTCGATATTCACATCTGTGGGGATTTAAGTGATGGACAAACAAAGAGACAGTTCATGTGGCTTGGATCAACAGCTGTGGTGAAGCTTGACACACAAATTCCCCCCATAAATGTTGCTTTCCCTTTTTTTTCAGTTGTTCCGTACCTCAAAAAACCCAAGACTTGCCTTCTGATTGAGCTATTTATTGACTCAAATCTCGTGATTTTCAGATTTTAAATAAAAAAATACTTTGATTTTATACTGCAAAATAATTACAGGTTGTTTAAATATAAATGTTCAACGGGACTTTATATCCAGAACTTGTTTAGAAAAATCTGGATTACTACAGTTTACGGTGAATTTGTTGTTCAGATAATGCTACATGTAATAGAAAATACATTTAGAGAAATAGAAATGAGCTTACAAGCCTTCAAATATGTGATGTAAACCATGCAAATATAACATTAAGAATGATTAATGTGAATCCCCTTTTCTTCTTATAAAATACATTAACAAAACACAAGCAGCTATACATAAAGGTATTTAAAGTTACGGTTTTATCTTTAAACATGAAACATGATCCTGCATGGTCTTTTCCTCACATTGGTGAATTCATTTTGTTACATGGTTTAGAAGACATTTCCAGAGCAGCAGAACTGCATCAAAATCAGAATCGACATCTGTCCCATCTGCAAATGAAGTAATCATTTGAATAGAAAAGTTGAAATATGTGAGGTTTGAGCCTGATTTAATCATCTGACACTCGCTAATGATGCTCTTGAATGAAAATAATTTCCCCCCATAAGAACACGTCTTTAGAGAGGATCGGAAACATGAATCACCTTGATTTGTAGTTCAAATCAGCTGTTTCCTCCAGCAGCCCTGACATCTCCAGGTCAGTTCACTCAGTCCGAAATCTGTTCTGATCAAACACAGATTTTTAAAGCTCAGATTTCCATAAGCACATGCATGCTTCAGGATACACAAACTCATTGAACTGCAATGTGTTTTGGGAGAAGGCATCCGTAGCCCACATGTATAAAAGCTTTACAAAGGCGCATCTTTATCCATTATTAAAGAACAAAAAATGAGTATTGCAGGTAAAATAAAGCCAGGGCACCTGGAGAGAGAAATACCAAAGCTGAATATCCACCCAGATCTAATCAGCTGCTCCTTCGCCTGAGGCTGATCCGTCCACCAAACTTCATGAGAAAATGTGCAGTTTTTAAAGTTGCTGACAGGCTGACATGTGAAGAGGATGATGGAGTGGTTGATCTTTAGTGGGGAGTGCAGTTAAAAAGCAAGATTTCAGATCTTCTTTAAAGTTGTATCTTCAGAGAAGAGAATGATTTTCAGCTGTCAGATTTTTGTTTGGCCACCATTTATAAAACACTTTAAACCAATACAGATCTAATTGGACTTCAATACCAGGAAATGAAGCAGATTTAGGCAATTGCGCAGATAAGCAACCATGCTTAATAATAGAAATCACTGGATTTTATCATGGATTTACTTTTCTTTATAATTATTTAAGTTTAGTAAATAAGTTATTACATTAGTATTCCCCCAGCATTGTCCTAACTATCAAGTAACTGCTAGTTTGCGTGTTAACACACAAGTGACTTTTCAAGGTAAATGCCTATCTGGCTGTGATGTGAATAATAGCAATAAAACTGCAGCACAAAAATAAGGGTTACGTCCATTTTACGACAAAATACAT